CTGCGGTAATAACCTTGCGAAGCCTACGAAGAACAATTTTTAATTGAAACAAAATGTTCGCAATCATCACCTAGACATAATAGTGACATACAGCACTCACCATAGTACCGTAATATAAGTTTTTACTCATTATAAATTGTACCATAATTTAGGTAACTTCGTTAGGCTTACGACCGTTGCAGTTTAGGACCAAGGTCTCCTTGGAGGGCGTGCTCGACTTATCTGATAGGGAAAGTCGGGTTCAATGAGCAATTTTGAACAAAGCACTCTCCGAGATATATAAGCACTCATTCGACATGTTTCGATAGTTATTTTCTAATAGTTCCTCAGTATTCTTGCCCGTCAGTTCGATTCCGCCACAGTGAACGTAAATAAGTCACATCAGAATCAAACCTCGTGACTTAGTTAATCACGCATATTAGTCGATCACAAAAACTCTGTCGAAGTCCAAGAAAATACAGCCCCAACTATCCTTACCAACGTAACTGTCCGTAAGGAAAACGGACCGAACGGAGACGATCTTTGTATCCGCGAATCCGCGGCGTAACATTTTCATGGTCTTTCGAGCCAAATTTCGGCCTCGTGGTGACTAATAAGTAAATTCAGTGATTGAGTGATTCAACAAAATGTAGTCAACAGCACAAAAGAACAATGCCCAAAAAACACCATTGAATCCAGCTGAACACATGCAAATATCGTCGACTGCAGAGCTTAGCACGTAAACGCGGTAGAAATCTCAGAACACTAAAGTCATTTACGAGGTTCCTCGACGCACAAAAAGAAGCTGGAGAATACGACCACGGCATCATCCAGATTCACCTCGATGGAATGAGACAATGGGAAAAATTCGACGAAACACAATTAAACATAGAAGAGCTTGAACCTTCGAAGGAATCACGAAGTTACGAGATTCAAGAAAATTATTACACAATTGTCAACCGCGCAAACCAATTGATAACGTCAAAACAATCTATCTCACAAACAGTTCACTCACTGTACACTGGCTGTGAAGCTACCAGAAATGAGTTTGCCAAACTTTGACGGCGCATCGG